TAGACATCAATCGTGTGCATGTATTGTATGTTATACGAATGCACGCGCAATCACGGAGCAACAGACATGCACTACGACGAACACGAACAACACACAAATTCAACGAAATCTTTTACAAAAATTCTCTAATCACGGTTACTCAATAAACAGCGACACATTTATTCACGTCCTTCACGATTAACCGATACACTATGGAATATCCGTAACAATAAAATTTCAGTACCTCAAAAATTCCATTTTTTATAAACTCCGCAGGTTTGTCAGTGTCCTGAAGAGAAGAATTGGGTAATTTTTGGTTTTCGTTGATATTCGGTTCTTCAGAGTGAAACCACTCCTTAAGGCAGCGCTGGGCAAAATTGACTTCTGGGAGCTAAACGCTGTCCCCACCATGGCTTCTTTGTTTACATAGGTACACGGCGCGAAAGACAGATTGGAAGGGGAAGCAGGCGTATGAGAGTCCCCTACATTGCCCAGCGCTGCCTTAAAGGTTAATGTGTGTTTTCTTACTTTCCTGTATATCTTAAAAATGATAGTAGATATAACAAAACTGTTATAACGAAAGTTTAATGACTTTTTATTTTCCTGAAAATTGGGCAATAAAATTTAAAAACTTTGGTTTTTAAATAAATAAATACATCAACAAGCTTTTAACAATATCATTACACAATTTTATAGAGCATATGAAGCCATTAAATTTTTATTCCTACCGTTTCTTGGTATCTACTACAGTTTTTTAAGATATGCAGAAAAATAGTAAAACAAACATTAACTTTCAGGGCATGGTTTCACCCTGAAGAACGGAATATTATCAAAAACGAAAAATTACCCGATGTTTTTATTCAGGTTCCCTACAAATCTACGCAGTTTACTAAAAACCGGAAATTTCAAGGACCGATGTTTCCCTGTGAAAGAAACCCGCTTCAATACTCCGAGAAAACATTTTAAATCTCCCATCATGTATCCCCAAAGTCTCACGAATCGTTAACAAATTTTCCCAAAAATGTCAGTGAGCAAAAAGGGTCGTTTTCCGCCTGAAAATTTCTGACCTCGACATCGGCTTCGTTAAACCCCTCGGGAAGGTATTGATTCCACGTAAAAAAGTTCCTCCTGAAGGGTGGCTTCAACCGCCCTCATTAAATAAAAAGAAACACCGCAACTGTCGATAGAAAAAAACCATATTATACCACAACTTGGTATAATTCTAAACACAAAAAACTCACCTTTAATTTTATTCGCAATTATACTGAAAAATCAGATATCAGCGGAAAACAACCCTCTAAGTTCAAGACGTCAGTCCATAAACTAATGCAACGATGTGATCTGGATCGTTTTTTTCTTGGTAATCGGTACGTGACAGGCGTACAACGGACTCAAGTACACTGACCATGCATGCGTGGCTAAGTTCAGGGGGCGGGGGAGGCGAAACGAAAAATTTGGAACGAAAAGAACGGCTGCCATAGCATAAAAGGGTGCATAGGGTGTGCACGAGGGGGATGGATGGGTTAGCGCGCGCGCAAGCCGCGTCCTCCGGTTTCCACGTCGGACACATACCGTGCGACGACGATGTCCACGAACTTCCGTCGAATAATAAACGGCCGCGGGAAGCCGCGTGCAATTTACCCGAATGACAAGTTCTTCAAGTTCGCGGACCGACCGGTTAAAACGAGACGAACGAGTTGGCGAGAAGTTACAGTTTCTGTAGTCAATGCGTGCCACGACCCGGCTTCGGATTGCTTCCATGTTTGCGGAGTAACTTTGCCGCGGAGAGACTATTTCCCCCTGTGTACACGCGGACGATCCGTGTGATTGAGTGTGATTCGTAATACGGTAACCGCGATTATTTAGAAGTTATTTATCTTTCGAAGGAATCGTGAGCAGATCATGAGTAGATTCAATTCAATTCTGGTTTGAATAAAAGAAGTGAATATGTGATTAATTCGCAACCAGATAGCACATGACGTCTTGAAGACGCCCATTTTACGGCTATTTTAGATCTAAGGCGCCTTTAAGCCGCCTTCAAGGCGTCAGTGGGCGTTATGTGACATCTGGTCGGTCTTATAACATAATCTATACAAATTTAAATTCGAGTGTATAGACCGAAGTATAGTTCCGAGAACAATTTTTTTTTGTAAACTCGATTACTTCCACGTGAATCGTGAGCAGATCGTGAATGGATTTAATTCAATTCTTTCTGGAATGGACGAAATAAATTTCCGATTAATTCTGCAATGAAAGGAGACCCGTGAAAAATGAATTTTCAATCGGTTTCCGAAATTCAAAGTCGAAACACCTTTTTCAAGAAAGGGGCGATTCCTCAGATGATTTGAAACAACTTTTACCTTAGCGAAAAAGTTATCCTGTATACGCGCATCACACTGTACAAATCAATTAATCTAGATTGTTCCAATCAATGAAATATTACGTTCCTTATACTTTTTGATATATTTGCAATTTAATTCAATAAAAAATGAATTTCGTGTTAAGGGCCTATTTTTCATGTTTTTTTCAAATGATGCAAATATTTGAACTTACTTTCAGGACAATAGGGGCTCGAATCCGTCCAATTCTCGAAAATAGAACTCCCAAATTAATTATTCTGGAAACTTTACTGTCACACCTCGTATACACCCATTTGTAAATAAGACTACTACACATCTATATAAATTTAATAACCATGTTGTATACTGTATTATACATCTAAAAAACATCTCGAGACGGATCTAATCACAACCGGAACTGAATCCTCCCGGTACAATCGTCAGTCGTGCATCCGTGTCCACCAATAAATCGAGCATAAAAATGGAATTTGAAACGAAAAAAAAAAAATGAAATACCAAGCACGCGTCGATTTGCATAGTAGATATCGTGGTAGAATTTGCGCGAGTAAAAACGGCTCGAAAAATCGTGTATCGGCATCGGCGACGCGGAAAGAAAAAAAAACGGTCGGGAAAAAAGCGCGAATCCGAGCGGTCGTGGCGAGCAAAAAGAACGACACTGCGTGTATTGTGTGTCGGACCGGTGGAGGAACTGAGGTGCAAAAGGGTGGCAATGGGTCGCATCAAAACGCCGGCTATGAAATGCAAAATCAGCGCATCGGCACGTCACTGCGTTCTCCGGGCGCGTTTCTGTTCGAAATCGATACTAGTCTGTCATTTCGGTCCTTTGCCTCTTTGCTGTTCTCAGCTCTGGACAACATGGACGTGCGAGCGCGCGCGCGCTGGTATGAGTAGGACCGGCTCGAAACGAAAGAAATTGCAGGCACACACATCGAAAAGCGATCCGGCGAATAGCTCGGCCAGCTGTTCTCCTCGTGGCCTCAGCGCGTGTTTTCGGTGGTATTATTCGTGTCGCGGCGTGCATTGTTCACTCGTGCCGCTTCCGACGAAGCGTTTTTTTCACTGTTCCACGACGGAGAAATGGTTCTCTCGTTGGATCGCCTATTGGCTTCCCTTTATGTGCTGCATGAAAAACCGGGTTCTTTGAGCGATTCGTGGACTCGTTGTTGAATCATTGCCGCGGAGAAAGCAGTATTTATTTGATATAAATGTACGATTGGAATTTGTTATTGAAAAACATATCCTGCACATGACGCGTCGAAGACGCTCATTTTGTGGCTATTTTAGGTCTAGTGCGTCTTTAAGCCGTCTTTAAGGTGTCAGTAGACGTCATCTAGGATGGTAGTTTGGTGTTCTCGATAGTTTTTTGGACGTCTGAGACTGGTCTTTTTAACAGATTGGTTGATGTGTGATTAAATTTAAAGGTAATAAAATTCGAACGGTAGTCGTAGAACTATTTATGGCTTGAGACATTTTAAGGTTATGTTATAACATGATTTATACATGGTGTACGAAGTGGAATGGTTGTTGTCTGAAATTATACGTTCTGTATCGATGCAAACTGTTTAAAATCTCTAATAAAATATATGAAATATCTGCGATAATACGAAAAAGAAGTGTACATGGCTTCCAGTGGTCGCCATCTTGGACACCTTGCGACAAAGCTTTAAACCAAAATGGCTGCCTGTCGTACATATAGATTGTAACTTGATTCACTGATTATTTATGTTTACCATGACCTTTCCTCCATTATTTATTACACCAAACTATCAGAACATAGCTTTTCAAAATTGTCAATACTATCCTAAATATATTTAACACTTAAATACGCTAAGATGTCTTTTTTCGGATGATATTCTGTACATCGCCACTGGATTTCGGGACACACTTACATGGTCTCCACCATTAACTCTAAACCTACCGAACCGTTCAAAAAGACAGGAATTAGAACGGTAAAACCGTTCATTTGACCTGTTGTGGTGGGTTTGGTGTTAATTATTAATTTGCGGGAAGGTTGACAAATTTAGACAACCGCCTAAGTTGGACACTACTGTAACTTGTGTGTAATCAATTTGGGCCTTATAATAGACAATATCTGTTGCTTACAGGTAATTAACGTAGTTAATGCAATCACCATCTATCATACACATATTGTTTATTATAAGGCCCAAATTGTTTACACACAACTAATGGTCAACCCTATGCGATGGTCCAAATGTTGCTACCTTCACCAATGACAGCAAAGATACAAAATGTATTTACACGTACCGAAAACCAATCGCGTGAAAGTGTCTCCTAAGAGATGTCTCCCGTAAAGAGAACTTTCTCAAGAGTGTCGGAAGCTCAGTGATCCCCAAAGAGCAGCACAGAACCATTTCTTCGTCGGCAACAATCGACCGTGTGCGATTCGGTTCGCGTGAACGGCGCAAAGGACGCGTGAACACATCGCGGTGTGTACAAGCGGATGCACTAAACGGGCTAAACTCGAGGATGAGCGAGATAGAATGTTGCTTGTGTAGGAAGCGCATGAAGTAGAAACAGGGCATGAAGAGAGGCAGACAGACAATGAAGTAGAGAGTCATGAAAGAGAGATAGAAAATTGCGAATGATACATGTAGGCATCGTATAAAAGAAAAACTAGAGAAAAAGCTGGCGGCGAATTACCTTGAAGGACTGCACAGAGAAACCAGAAACCAGGGTTGGTCCGTAACATAAGAAGCGAACAGAAAACAGAAAAAAGGTAAATTTGTAATTAGGTCGTTCGCTGTAAGAGACACCGCTGTCGGGAATGAGAACACTTCCGGTTCGTTCGGCGTGAATGAAGAGAGGTTAGGATTCGGGGAACGGTTTTGGGTGGTTCGGTACCGTCTCTCGCTTCGAAACATTTCGATCGCTTCGACTCGCGTTTTTTTTCTGTCGGTCGCCTGTCCTCGGGTAAACAGACTGTTTTTTTCAATTAGTTGAAATTTGAAAAACAAACCCGGAGGGCACGCGAACGTCAGCGAAACTCGCGGTACGCAGAGACTCGAGCGCGCTCGCAGGTGAACTTTTTTTTTTTTTGTTGCACTCCTAGCGAGGCGCGCGCACAGAGGAATCGGGGCTCGGATGGTCTCTTCGTGCTGTTTTTGTTTTGTTTTTTTTTTTTTTAGTTTCTTTTCCGACGAACGACGGGGGTCCAATGTGTACTACGGGGTGCTGTAAAAATTCTTGCTAGATCAAAAGGCTGTGACAGTTGGTCTATATATACGACATGGGCAAAGTAATTGGGTGGACGAGAAAAATGATTTGCCAACCCTTCGGGAACATTTTTGTGGATACACATTTACTTTTTTTCTCGTGAATGTTAATGTTGGGGGTGGAGGCGAATAATTTTTCTCGGCACTGAGGGGAAAATCTCATCGTTTGGTGGATTTTTTTTCATCCACTGAATTCGCACAGATGAGATCTAACCCGTAGATCTTTGTCGCACAAATATCACTTCGTGTTTTGTTTCTTCTTTCTCTTCGAAGGTTTTATTGCGAATGGACGTGATATTTGTGGGGTACATCAGGATGAAAAATTTTCGAATCGGGGACAGTGTACCGGTTTCATGAGAATTATTGTAACCCAGACGCAACGGAAGTCGAGTGTAAATCGCAACAATTTCGACGAGTGTATTGTTTTTTTTTTTACCTTTGGCGGATTTTACAGAAATTTCTTGGCTGTCGCGTTTTGTAATTCATTTTTCGTATCACACTAAAATTCTGCATAAACCTGGGGGCGAAACCAGCAACCGTTCGTTTACTTTTCGCTCGGCGGTTTGACAATTAATTACCGCCTATGATTTTGCAAGTGTCAACGCGTCCGCCATATTTGACGGTTCCAGGCTACTGAACACGACGCGCGGATGCATCTGATATGTCAATCGCACGGATGTACATGCCATAAACAAATGCGGCTGCACGTGTGCCCGTGCAACGTGTGTGAACCGCTATAGTTAATTCTATTGGATTTATACTAAAAGTTAGTAATAGTACCTATTAAAATTTAGTAATAGTACCAATTAAATTTAATAATAGTGCCTATTAAAATTGAATAATACTAGCTATTACTAGAATTCTATGATTTCTAGTTAGAATCAATTACGAGGGAAATTTAAATGAAAAAAAAAACGGAGAACTAAAAATGCAAAGTTTACTATTAAATTTTCCAAAAATGTACATTCACCTTTTGTTAGTGTCGTTTAAGAATATGCAATATCGATAATGAATATACTGCAATGAATCAGGAAAAAGGTATTATTATATGATTTTACTACTTATATAATTGTATTATAAGTGCTTGAACAACTTTAAAGATCACAACTGCTATAAGAAAATGTAGTGATTTTGCAGACAACTCCATATTTCCTATCTTTCCTGATCTTTGATATTTTATGCACAAATTGCCGAAGAAACGAAGGTTTCTCTCGATTTCCGCGATACACCACAAATATCGGTTTTCTTCAGTTGCATCACGATCTATTTGGTAATGCATTCAAGACGTCGTCGCTGAAAATGAAGGCGACGCCGGAATTCAGTTGCGAACACGATATACGTTCCATTGTACGTCGGCGTAATTTGATTTTGTACGTGATTCCATCAAATAAAACTTTCTTATCCGCAGATTCCCATATATTACTTTTGCACCTTCTGCGAGCTGGATACAAACAATAATTTAATTCATTCGGTATCGATAAATAACGACAGCACAGGAAAGATCACTCAATTAATGAGAAGAAATCATTTCTTCACCTTTTTGTATTGAGATATGAAATTTATGAACTACAGAGTGTCAATAAGTCGTCGTCTGATGTGACACTTCCCTATTCTACTGATTTTACGAAGATATACAGTCGATTGTAATTGCTTGATCAAGATTAAATGCAGTTTGTCAATATTACATCAAGTTTCCATAGACTTTTCGCTGTTTAATTTTTGATTTTGTAAAGTAATACAATTGTGAATATAAATTATATATAGCTTCCTTTGGTTAAATTATCATTCCAACAAATTTGTAAGTCCTTTAAATTTTGAAACACAGTGCATTACAAATATAACATAATTTCATGAAAACAAATTTACTCAGTGGTAAATTAACGTTTCGAAACATTGTTCGATGCAGAGGTAGCAAAAGCAAACAGCATCGATGCAAAATACACAGGTAAAGGAAGGAAAAACGTAGGTACATAAATTTAATAAATATCAGTATATCGGACGAGATATTGTTACCCAAGCAAACAATTTATTAATATCAACTTTGTTTATTTAATATATTTTTGCAATATTCCTGTGTTTTGCGGGTATTCAAGTTCCTGAATTCCTAAGTTCTCAATATCAAAATTAAAAACCTCCGTTCTTCACTTTCTAAATTTTTCAATTTTTCAATTAATTAAATTATCATGTTTCTTTTCCAAGTTCTCAAGCTTTAAAATTCCGAAGTTTTGAAGTTCCCCCAGTTCTCCCATTTCCGAACTTTCCACCATTCAATTTCACAAATTATTTAGTTTCTAAATCGTCGAGTTCCCGAATTCCTAAGATCTAAAGTTTATAATTTCCTAAATTCTTAAGATCTTGAGTTAACGAAACTTTCAAGTTTCCAAGTTCCCAAGTTATCGAGTTCCCAATATTCTGAAACTCCCATGTTCCTAAGTTTCAAGTTCATAAACTCACAAGTTCCTAAGCTCTCAAGTTCTTAAGCTCCCAACTTCCCAAATCATCCACCCTTCAATATTTCAGATTTTTAAATTTCGAAATCTCCGTATTCTTAAAATTTAAAGACTGACAATACTCCAAACTTCAATTGTACGATAGGTCACAATCACTCGAATTTATTAATCTCCCCGATATTTATTCCAATCTATCTTTTCACGAGAAGATTTTCTCTCGCCATCCGTTTCAGCTTCTTCGCTCGGTTAAAGGTGAAATTACATTTCGAGCACGTTCGCGGTCTGGAGTCGAATAGTTATTATTCACGAAGTAAAAGTCGTTCCTCGAGTAATCGGCGGGGAACGGCGTCAGGTGTACGTTCCAGTTTCTTCGGTAATCACGGACAGGTTCAACGAATCGCACACGTTATCAGTGCACGCGCGATTGCAAATTCATGCACGCGAGAGCTGCCGAAGACAGGGAAGACCGGACCCCCCCCCCCCGTTCCCTTACGAATCAAATCTGCTTTCGCGCCATTAAGGAATCCGGAACTTCCGGCGTAATCGGAGAAGTTTAGTCCTGATCGAGAACTTTCGACAGGCTCGATATCTTGGACTTTTCGTAATTTCACGAACATTTCATAGATCGATTTAGGTTTCCACACAAACACTTCGCAATTTTTCTCCATATTTGTTAGTTCATTATTATATCTAGACTGCGGATTTTATATTATAAGGCTATGTGAAAGAGAATAAAAGACGAAACGAGTTTCCTGTTTTATTCTAAACCCAATAAGGTACCTAAGAGAAAAAAGAAATTTCTACATTTCCTATCCTGTTTATGAATTATTTTATAGAATATTATTTTGCACAAAAATTCACAATTTAATTTTGGTTTTATAAGTTTTGTTTTTACTTCTGAAAAACGAAGAACAATTCTTTCCCTGGCTAGTATATTAACCCTCGGCAGGCGGACGGTCTGGGACCGATGTTTAAGATGACAATGGTTAAGATAGATTCAGCTGTCTCAAATCTTCCACATAAATTTCATTCCTGATCACTTGACTAAAATTTAATGACTGACAACTATCACCAAAGTTAATATTTGTATGTTAAATTACACAGTAAACAAGGTACCACTTGCTTCCATAGCAAACTAATTAACAAAACAATCTAGTCTCGCCTTGAAACTTTCTAATTAGACTTCTCTGATATACCGAAAGATCATTTAAAAAATATTTCGTACAATACAAATTACAATTGACTCAAAGAAACTTCCTAAAAATCTAAAAAATGCTCTACAATTTCCGACTTGCCCTATTCGACGTCAATTCCAAGTAACAGCATTGAGATTTCAAAGGAACCAATTTACCCCAACGTTCCACTGAAGTGTTCCTAAAAAAAAAAAAAAAAATGATTCACGAGCCGGCGGTAGCAAGAACAACGCGTTGCAAACGGTCGCGGCGTATTAACATTGTAACTCGTAATAACGGAATCGCGTCGTTCCGCGGAATTGTTTTTATTAGATGGTCGAGGGAGCGCGCGTTGCAACCGACAGGAATGAGTGAAGAGGGAAAGAAAAGCCAGGGGGCTGGCTCCGTGGCCGTTCAGAGAGAAGGCAAGTAACCGAGTCGCGGGGCATAATGCGCGGTTTACGCGATCCTCCTTTAATTATTTCACCAGATGGTTCCGGGGGGAGGGGGGGGTGGATAAGGGAACGGTTTAAGTAGGGCTTTAAACGGCAACAGGGAAATTTAAAAGGCGGTCGGGACCCCTGCAAAGATCCAGGGGCAATTTGCGTTCGCTCCCGGTCTTTTAATTGAAAGGTCGAAACGCGTTATTGCTTCTCCTCGCGGGTCGCCGTTTATATTCGGGCCATCAATCGTCTATTCGTTGGTGAAAACACGATTACAGTTTTTCCAACCGATGTTATTTCATATTATCGTGTCGTCAAAGAAACAAAATGACACTGTATTCGATTGTTTTCATAGATTTCTATACAAGGTGG